TTTTTTTTTTTTTTTTTTTTTTTCCTTTTGTTTTATGCCAAGTTGGTCCCAATCACGTGGAACCGTGCAACACAGGAATTTCAGGTTTTGTTATTTAATTAATCATAGTTATCCTTGTTTCACGAGAATTCTACAACTAGGTATAGTATACTATAGGGACACATAGATGAATGGGAGAGACAGAGATGTATATGAAATGAAGGAACAAGAGATAAAAAAAAACAAGAAAAAAGATTTGGGGATTGATTTTGGAATATGGATGAGGTGGAAACGGAAATGACTGGTCATCACTTAAGAAAGGAAAGCAAAGGCAACACAGAGACAGAGGTCTTTTACTAATTTTTGTTTTTGGGTTATTCAATTTTCTTGGAAAAAGCGATGCCCCCAGAATCTTGCCACAAATCTTTCACACTTTGATCAGAAAAAGAAAAAGAAAAAGAAAAAGAAAAAGAAAAACCAGCCCACCCCCTACAAATAAATACCACCCTCTAGCGCACACACTTGTCACTACAAAGCTAAGCTAATAACTCCACAATGGTGCGTGTCAAAGAAGCTGTGGTAATAACCCCATCGGAGCCCACACCCAACACTATCCTCCAACTCTCCGCTTTAGACTCACAACTCTTTCTGCGCTTCACCATAGAGTATCTCCTCGTTTACAGGCCCGCTCCGGGAATGGACCGGGCCTCCACCACGGCCCGTTTGAAAGCCGCATTAGCCAAAGCGCTCGTTCCTTATTACCCATTCGCCGGGAGAGTGCGGGCCCGCTCCGAGGGGCCGGGCCTCGAGGTTCTCTGCCGGGCCCAGGGCGCCGTCTTCATCGAAGCCTCCTCAGACCGCTACACCGTCAACGATTTCCACAAGGCCCCCAAAACCGTTACGCAATGGAGAAGTCTCTTGTCGCTCTACGTCACCGACGTTCTCAAAGGCTCGCCGGTTCTTGTTTTTCAGCTGACGTGGCTGGCCGACGGGGCCGCCGCCGTCGGCGTCGGGATCAACCACTGCATCTGCGACGGCATCGGCAGCGCGGAGTTTCTGAATCACCTCTCCGATTTGGCCTCCGGGAAGCGCGATCTGAAACCGAAGGCGGTTTGGGATCGGCACCTTCTGAATCAAAACGGGACTCGGGCGAACCCGGCTCGTCACCCCGAGTTCGCGCGGGTTCCGGATCTATGCGGGTTCATGAACCGGGTGACGAGCGGGCTTAAACCGACTTGCATTGTGTTGGACGAGAGACGCATCGAGGCGCTTAAAAGCGCGTGCGGAGGAGGAACATCGTTCGAGGTTGTGGCTGCGCACGTGTGGAGGAGTTGGGCTCGGGCGTTGGGGTTTCCGAGGAACCAGACGGTGAAGCTTCTGTTCAGCGTGAACGTGCGGAAGCGCGTGAAGCCGGGATTACCGGAGGGGTATTATGGGAACGCGTTTGTGTTGGGGTGCGCGCAGAGCAGCGCGTGGGAGTTGGGGGAGAGAGGGGTGGGGTTCGGGTGGGGTCTGGTGAAGCGTGCGAAGGAGAGGGTGGACAGCGAGCACGTGCGGAGCGTGGTTGAGTTGGTGTCGGAGTCGAGGGCGAGTCCTGAGCCGGTGGGCGTGTTGATTCTGTCGCAGTGGTCGAGGCTTGGTTTGGAGAGTGTCGAAATGGGAATGGGAATGGGGAAGGCTGTGCATGTGGGTCCCATTTGCTCTGATAGGTACTGTTTGTTTCTCCCAGTCACCGCTGAACGCCACAGCGTTAAGGTCGTCCTCGCTGTTCCCTCCCTCGCCGTTTACAATTTTCACCGCTTTCTCCGCCAATCCCATTCCTAGCTTCTCTAATTATCTTTCACTTCCATCTTCCACATAAATAATAACAACCAACTAATTCCTAACTTTCTTTTTTCCATTAATTTCATTATTAAAATGGAATTATTCCTTACAAACACTAATCAAAATGATCAACGTATTAAAATGGTTTAATTATATAATGAAGATTAAGGAATAACGGGAGTGAACATATGATAGGTTACTGATCTAATCAATCAATCAAATGTGGGCATACTCTTTACGATCTTCGAATTGAAATTTATTTTATGCCATTCCCACTTGCTGGCCCTTTCGTGAACTTTTGTTATCCCGCTACAAATGTTTCATCTAAGCACCTTATAAAATATATATTTTAAAATACCATGAATTTCAAAAGACAAACACAAAAGATTAACAACTGGATTCAAGTTTATCTATATTTCTATAAATTGAAGGGGGATTAACAGATTGATTACATTTTTTTCTTTTATCATGATCCATGTGCCATTTTTATTTATCGATGAATTAGTTTCTAATCATCATTATTTTCTAACTAAGATCATTAAAAGATTAAAACGAAATTGAACTATTTTTTTTTTAAAGATTTATAACTCATTTCTTAATAAATTTAAATAATTTGTAGCATGTGAAATTATGGTTTTTGAAGATAGGCAGATGTTCTTAAAAAATATTTTTAATGTTTACAAAATTAATAAGTTCTATTTTTTTTATCTTTATAAAAAAGTTCTTTAATTTTTATCCCTCAAAATATGAAATTATTACTTTTAGTTTTTACTTATGTGACTCTTATTAGTAGCTGTTCTTACCGGAAATCTGCTGTAGAGCTGATCCGCCGACGCAGAGAATCACGAGTTCATGAGGAGGGCGCGATTCAAGGGATTCAGATTAGTAACGCCACACCGCTATATATACCAATGATTAGGTCTGATAGAGTGGATTATTCTCATTGAATGTTCTAGGTCAAGACTGCTGTCAAGTTCTTTTAGCTCGGTATCGCTAAGGGTTCTTGGGCGGCGGTCCCCAATACCGGAACAGAACTATATGTTGGTAATGTATAGTGTACGAATGATCCTATTCCCAGGTAAAGCTAGTGTCACATTGTTCTCTAATTTCTTAGAAAATGTATCTTGATATAGCTTCGTTGGTGTGTCCGTCATCTAAACTTTACTCACGGTTGAAAGGGATATAAATTCACAAATATTATTTATAGAAAAAAATAGTATATGCACGTGATAATATAAAACATTTTCCTACTATTAATTAATTAAAATTTTTATTTTTATATACGTTAAGTTGGTTGAATTTTATAACACTTTAAAATTTACACCTGATGTGATTTTTGATTAGTTATAATCCATGGGACACAGTGATCATCTTCTGCTAAATGCAGTCCACTCGTAACCAACAAGTTAGTTGAGGTTACCGATTGAACTTACTTCATGTGAACTAATTACAAGTAGTTCATGAAAAAAAAATCTTAAATTCGTATCGATTTTGATAAAAAAAAATATTTAATCTGATAGAATATGGATATGAGTATAAATAATATTTGATTTATTAAATTGAGTATCAAGACAATAATATAGATATATACATATCTGTCCCATATTTATATTTGTACTTGTTTAAATTTTAGATATTTAATTTTTTTTTAATTATTTAATATTTATATAATTTTTACTCTATTTTTAATTTATATTAAAAAAAATTAATTAATGTAATTTTGTAAATGTTATTTTATATTAAATTTTCTTATAAAAAATATTTAATTAATTTTTGGACGAATATGAAACAAATATGAATATACTCGATAATTGACGAACACAAAGATCGAAACATAAATTTCATATCTATCAAATATGGGATTAAGGATAGATATAGAATACGAGAACGAAAATAAAGAAACCTTTACCCGTTTCACTTCATTGTCATCCTTACTAACTTATTGATAATCTATAATATACAATAGGTTTTTTTTTTTTGTAGAATATAATTAATACATTGCGCTTAGATATGTGTTGATATAATTACTTTTGAATCAATGCAAATTTATAGAATTAATTTTGAGTAACATAATTTTTGTTTGAGCGACAAAAAATATGAACTTGATTTTCATATTATGTTATTTAAAAATTTGTTATCAAAATTGATTTTGAATTTAAAATTATAAATATGAACTAATAAAACTTCAAAATTAATTTTCCAAAATTAATTTTGTTTAATAAAGAAACTATAAATAGATGTGAATTTGAATATCTTAAAATCGATTTTGATAATAGTTAAATATACAAGAAACGTGATTATGATTATCTTTAACGCAACAAAATTAACTCTAGACATAAAAGACGTAGAGCCTAACATATTCATAGCCAACTAATTAGGTGAGATTACCAATTGAACCGACTTGTTGATATTTCATGGTGCACAATAATGATCATCTTCTGTTGAATGCGTTTCATACACATGGCTAAGTCAAGTCAACAATTAAACCTATTTTAAGTTTAAGGCATGTGGCACGACAAGAATGGATTTCCTACAATCACACATTCATTAATTAGCACAGTTAGATATAGATCAAATGATATAAATTTTAAATTTAACTTATCAAAATTAACGTTAAAATTAATGTATGTATAAATTAATTTATAAAAGTTTTCTCGTATTATTTTATTTTAAAAATTAATCTATAAAAAAGTTGATTTTAATTTATAGAAAAGAAATTATTTAATTTTACATTTTTTTTTCTTTTTTCTCTTAGAAATACATGTTTAGGAAAAAAAATTATCCAAACATGTCCATATGGGATCATAATCCAACAATTTTGATTGTATAAATGTGTCAATTTATGATCATGAGAATCCTTGATTAAGGGAGAAAGTGGAGGCTAGAAAAGAAAGAAGAAAAAAAAAAACTGAAAGAGGCAGGTAGGACAAGCATTCAAGCAGATTCATGAACTATCTTTTCCCCATATCTGGGACTCTATCACTTGCCTCTTCATTGGTTTCACAAGTACATGGTGCTTGAGAAGGACAAAATACCCCACCCTTCCCATAACATAGCTGAAACCAAACACCCAAAAATACTCTTAGACTAACTCATAAAAAGCCTCACTCAACTCTCAAGCAGTTACAGTAGTTAGGGTTTAGTCTGGTAGAAGTGTGTTAAGTTTGCAATATATGAAAGTGTGTACGAACATCAAAGTCTTTAGCTCAATTCTTATAAAAAGAGTGTTATTATATCTTTCATTACTTGTGAAAAGGTTGCATGTGACAGTGGTGGAAGTACACACCCTGGTGGTTGATTATTATGAAGATTATGTGATTTATGAATAATGATATGATAGGGTGGTGATTAAAAAGTTACACAGTCAAATATTCGTCAATTTTGGATTACTTTTTACATTATATTATAGGGGTTCTTAGCAAACCAACAATAAATAAGGATTATTTTATTTTTGTCTGCCATGTGGGCTTACTCTTGGTTTAGGGTTTTTATTAGTAACCCTCTCCATTAGGGCTCGCCGCTTTTTCTCAGGCGCGGGCCCGTTCTTTGGAGGACGAGGTGACTTCCTCCCGTGACCAGGTGCGGGTCTTAGAAGATGCTGTGGCCTCTCTAAAGGGGGAGTTAGCAGCGGCGGCTGAGGAGCGTCTCCGCAGTGAGGCCATTCTAAGATGCTGCAATGGCAGCTGAAGCTGGTGCAAATTTTATTGGAATGATCATGTGGCCTAACTCAGAGCGTTCAGTTTCGCTTTCTATTGCAATGGACATATCAAAAGTTGCAAGGGATTATGGAGCAGAGCCTGTGGGTGTATTTGTGGATGATGATTCAGAAACAATTTTAAGAGCTTCTGATGCAGCAAACCTTGAATTTGTGCAGGTATTTTTTTTGCCTACAGTTAATGTGCCTTCCATGACAATTAAATGCTTAATTTTGTGATATTTGGACAATGCAGCTTCATGGACAAGGATCTCGGTTAGCTTTTCCATCTTTAGTTCAGGAAAATCGTGTAATATATGTTCTCCATGCAAATGAGGACGGGAGCCTTTTAAACAAAATTTCTGATGAAGAGTGTTCTCTAGTTGATTGGGTTCTTGTAGATAGTGCAAAGGGTGGAAGGTAAAGGCATACATCTTGAATGGCTCAATGTCCATCTGCTTGTTAGATAATCTTCTTTTTCCCTTGCACGTGAATATCATAGAACTCATAAGATGTCTTTGCAGTGGTAAGGCATTCAATTGGGCCCAGTTGAGACTACCAAAAACCAAAAGCAAGTACGGTTGGCTCTTAGCAGGAATTCGTTTTGAAAACAAAATTGTAACAAGCCATCACGAGGATATTTCCAAATCACAACATTTCTTTCTTGAGATACATAATAATTTAAGGTGAATCAATACTGAAAAGCATGCACAACATTCATGAAGGAAGCTATTCTTGATTGATCCTTACGGATTCCATCTGATGCACAAATGCCACTGCTAACATCCACCCCTTCAGGCTTGAGTGTAGATAGAGCCTCAGAAACATTCTCAGGATTGATCCCTCCTGCTAAGAGCCAACCGTACTTGCTTTTGGTTTTTGGTAGTCTCAACTGGGCCCAATTGAATGCTTTACCACTGCAAAGACATCTTATGAGTTCTATGATATTCACGTGCAAGGGAAAAAGAAGATTATCTAACAAGCAGATGGACACTGAGCCATTCAAGATGTATGCCTTTACCTTCCACCCTTTGCACTATCTACAAGAACCCAATCAACTAGAGAACACTCTTCATCAGAAATTTTGTTTAAAAGGCTCCCGTCCTCATTTGCATGGAGAACATATATTACACGATTTTCCTGAACTAAAGATGGAAAAGCTAACCAAGATCCTTGTCCATGAAGCTGCATTGTCCAAATATCACAAAATTAAGCATTTAATTATCATGGAAAGCACATTAACTATAGGCAAAAAAATACCTGCACAAATTCAAGGTTTGCTGCATCAGAAGCTCTTAGAATTGTTTCTGAATCATCATCCACAAATACACCCACAGGCTCTGCTCCATAATCCCTTGCAACTTTCGATATGTCCATTGCAACAGAAGGCGAAACTGAACGCTTTGAGTTAGGCCACATGATCATTCCAATAAAATTTGCACCAGCTTCAGCTGCCATTGCAGCATCTTTAGCTGATGTAATGCCACACATCTTAACCAAAGGTTGACTCTTTCCGAGCTCCTTTGAGACATATCGAAAGTTGCAAGGGATTATGGAGCAGAGCCTGTGGGTGTATTTGTGGATGATGATTCAGAAACAATTCTAAGAGCTTCTGATGCAGCAAACCTTGAATTTGTGCAGGTATTTTTTTTGCCTACAGTTAATGTGCCTTCCATGACATCGAGGGAGCTGGGCGCGGATGCGCTTGTTCTCGGCACGTAGCGCCGCTAGGTCTGCTTCGTTAGCGGTGCGCATCGCCGCGAGGTCATTCTCATGCTGGGCACGCATATTCTGGAGGTCGGCATCGTGCTGTCGCCGCATCTGCTCGACTTGTTCGACTAAACGCCTCAGGGTCGCGGTATCGCTGTCCATGGTAGTTGAGTTGCTTGTGTTATCTGTTGCTCGTCTAATATGACTTCTGGTAGAGCTGCTGTAGAGCTGATCCGCCGGGTAAGATTGGTGAGCCTCCTTCGCTGGGTGTATTGGTGGTCCGAGATGGGGGAGGTACCTGCAAAAGAGACTCCGATGCTAAAGTTAGGGTTTGTATGAGTATGAGTCTCGTATATATAATGCACATACCTTTGGTGAGTTAGGGTTGTCTTGGGCCTGAGATAAGATATGATATGATACGATATCATATAATATGATATGATCACGTTGTGACATAATATGGTATAATTGGAGAACGGTTTTAGCCTGGGACGAGATCTCCGGGCTCGGGCGTGATCTGTCCGGATTCCGGGCTGACGTTGTTCAACGCGTGCCCAGGATGATCCTTATAATGTCAACCCGGGCTGAGAGCCCGGGTGCGAAATGCGGTCAGTACAGTAGCTAATGAGTTCAATTGAAAGTGAAGTAATTATCTTGAATAACATCGATTAATATTTTGTATTATCATATTAACATGTGACACTTCTCATAAATCATCTAATTCTTTAAAATAAACTTTATTTATCTACTTTAAAATGATTAATATGGACAAAAATTAATTTTATAAGATTTTAGAAAGGAAAGAATAAAAAATATTTTATAAAGATTAATACTAAAATTTATTTATTTTATAAGAATACAAATAATAATTTAAATTTTGAAAAGATGAAAATATTTTTATTTATAGAAATTAAAATAATAAAAAAATATTTTATAGGGACAAAATTATATTTAATTACTTTAATTATGAGTGAAATATGATGTTTAATAGGAGAATATTTAAAATGTGTTTAATGGGTTGAGTTTAAAAATCTTGCTCCCTTTATATTAATTTGAACACGCCTTATACCTGTGTAAAAGACAAACACGGCTGATTTAACAAGTGGATTAAATTTTAAATTTTTAATAATTATATTATTGATATAAAATATTCATTAAAGATAGTTTTAAAGTTTTTGATCTTCAGATGAAATGAAAAAATAATGTCCTCATAAATATTTGAATACTATTTATGATTATAATTTTTAAACTTAAAGGTTTAAGCATACAAGCAGTTGAACATACAGTTACATAAAAATGATTAATTGTATGATACTTTTGTACGAAATTATGAGTTATTATTATAGATTATTATACAATAAAAAATATATCAATAATGATAATACATTAAAAAAATAGATTATGATTTAAAAAAATAGAAAGAAAATAAAGAAAATTGGAAATAAAGGGAAAAGGAGGAAATTAGAGGACATTCTTATTTATAATTTTACTTTAATACTTATGAAATTTCATACTAAGAAAAAAAAGAAAGAGGAAATAAGTTAATAACATATAACACTTTCCTCTCTATATTTAATATCACCAATTTTTTTTTCATAAAATTATTGATAGATTTTTGTTGACTAATAAAAAAATTTGATTATTGATTAATTATTCATAATTATTTTATTTTCTCTAATAGATATTAATAATTTAATTATGTAATTTTTATATTATATAAATTAAATAATTTTTTTGGTGTATCTTTGATAATGAAGTCCTAGACGGTCATCCCTTCGATTAATACTCAAGTTATTGCTGTATTTACTAATTTTGTTGATAATTAATCTTTGATGGGTAACTATTTTTAGTGGAATTTATCTTTTTGACCATATTTGTTTTCCATACATAAAACTTGAAGTCAAAATCATAATTAAACTAGTTGAGTCTAATACTCTTCGGCCAAAACCTTATTCGTAAAATTTATCTAAATTTCTATAAATAAAATGAAATTTCCTCGCTTAATATTCAGTAGTCCTTTCTTTATCAAATCCTTGTGCGATTTTAATTTTTCAATATTTTTCTTGGTTAAGCATAGCCTCTCAATTTTATATCATTAATTATAGTTAATTCGTTTCATCTCGTTTTATTTATATAAAAAAACAAATTTGAAATAAAAATGATCTGAAATAATTAAAACTCAAATTTTTTTAAAAAATTAAGGATTTGTCGCGTGTGAAATTATGGTTTTTAGGATAGAAAGTTTGTTTGTTTGTTTGTTTTTTTTTTTTGTTTTTTTTGTTTTTTTTTTATTTTTTATAGTGAAATATGTTGTGTTGAGTAAGATTGTTTAAAATGGTTTAATCATTAATGGGTTGAGTTTGTAAAATTCTTGCTCCCATTATATAAATTTGAACACACCTTCCCACTTGCTCCCAATTGTCTGAATATAAGTAGATGGAGAATTTCTCCCACTTAATTACTATTATCATGATGCATTTGCGATTTTAATTTCTCAACATTTTATCGTTAAATCTAGTCTCTCAACTTTTAAACTACTTTAAGTCATTTCATCACGTTTTATTTCTATAAAATTTTCAATCATTACTTTTTACTTAAATCATTCAAAGTTCAAAAGGATTTTGAAATAAAGATGATTTAAAATATTTAGAACTTAAAATTTTAATAAAATTAAGGATTTTGTCTCATGTAAATTATACAACTTATGATAGATATATTATCCACTAGTGAGAAAATCAACAATAAAATTAATATGTAACAATTTTAAATAATTAAACAACAAGTTTCTCTTACCTCAAGTATTTCAGAGAAGAAGAAGAAGAAATGAAAGAAATTTGAGAAACCCTAAACTTTCATATGATGATTTCTATCTAAGATTCCCAACTCCTCTGGTTGAATATTAATTTCTACCATACCAACTAACGATAAAGGGAATAATAAGAACATTTCCATGGAATCAAATCAACGATTGAACTTTGTTAACCTTAGAACACATGTTTTTAACTTCTTTCTAAACTTATAAAATTATGAACTTATTATGATTTTTGTTTCTTGAAATTCGTCTTATATACCTCAATCCTCTAAAGATCAACTCTTACACATTTAAATTATATCTATTCTTAATTTTTTTTTAGGTAAAATGAAATATATTAAAAGAAATACTTTATATCCATTATAACTTGTGTTTAGAGTTTATATTGTTTGTATCTTGATATATATAAGTAACGAGTGTATATATAATTCAATAATTGCACTGTCACGTTGGAATTTTCTTTTCTAAAGTCTCACATCGGAAATTACTAAGAATACGTAGGAGCATGGGTATGAACTTTTTTTTTTTCTTAAATAGAGATATATCAAGACAATTTTTCTAATTTCTGATCAAAATTTCAACAATTACTATTATTTTATCTTTTTTTATATATTAAACAAGTTTCCAAGTGGTCCTCAAAACCTTGAAAATTCAGTAACGTTACTATTTAATTAAATAAATAATAGATGATTTTTTTTCCTAACTTCGGCTTAATCCTATAACTTTATTTCATTTTATTTTAGTATTTTATATTAAACTTAAATATATTTTTATTTTTTGTAAAATGAAGGAGTTTTAATTTTACTCCTTATATATATATTTGTTTTTTTATCTTCATAAAATTTAAAATAATTATTTTTAGTCCCTATTATTATGTAATTTAATTTAATTACTTATTTTTTAAGTAAGTAATCATTTTAAGTATTATTTACGATTACTCGTGATGTTAATTATATCGATATGTGATACTTTTAATTTTTTTTAAGTTCTTAAAATAAATATTATTTATTTATTTTAAAATAATGATTGAGAATAAAAAAAATAATAACTTTATTTTAAAGAAAAAATAAAAAAAATATTTTATAAGTATCAAAATTAAATTTTACTAATTTTAAAAGACCAAAAAAATATTTTCAAATTTTAAAAAGATGAAAAAAAATTATAATAGGGACTAAAATCAAAACCCAATCATTTTATGGGTATTAAAAAAATTTAGGTATAATTTGATCTATGACAATTATATTAATTCTTATTGCCAAAAATATATTTTTTCTTGCCAATTATATGCCTTTTAATCACTAAAATCAATAAATTTAATCAAAACAAAACGAAATAAATAGATAGAAAACAAAAATAAAATGAAAAATGTAAGAGAATCAAACAAAGACATAAGTTTTTTTTTTTTTTTTGAATCAACAAAGACAAAAGTTAGAAAATCAAATTACTAATTTTACCATAACAATATTAAAAACTTTCACATGGATATGAATCTTTTATTTAATAAAAAAAATGCTACTATGATTAGCTGTTAATATAGTAAGTTATTTTGGAATAAGTAGAGGAAAATGGTCGGGTCCTTTGTATGAAGCCATCATTTTGGTCTTCTTTCATTTTCTATTATTAAATGCTTTATTTTAATTGAAGACCTGTTAGTATGATGATGATGTCTCTCAAAAACTTCGTTTATTTTTATCTCTAACTCATAGTATAAAGGTGAAAAGTTGTTTATTTATAAAATTTTCCATAAAAAGTGGATTATGTCTGTTTAGTTTTTCAACAAGATATGCATGACGTATGGTATAGAATTTTTACATATTTTAAAAGCATATTCGAAATCTTTTTAAAGAACTTGATGCAGACAAATAGTACTGGTGGCGTGATTAATTATTGCACATTTCATGTGCAGCGACATTTAATTTCACTTTATAAATTGCATAAAACATTTGACTTTGTATGTAATCATGTCTAGTATAATTGACTGTATAACTGTGATGAGAATAATATATGATTGTTACAATAAATATAATGGCCAAATGGGTACGGAAAGAATACATTAGATGTTTCCATGACCATACTTTTCTTTAATTCCATTTGATGTTACACTGAAATGATCCTTTAGGTGCTTCCAGATAACATTAGAAGGATTCTTCAACTTAAATAATACCAAGCAAAATTAAATGTCTACCAATACAATATATGGAGAATTTTGAATTAGGTGTATCAATTCATGGGATCTAATATTAGATAACATGTAATATCATTCTAAGAGAAAATAATCGCATACTATTATGTAACTGTCCTTTTTAAAAGGATTCTTCAAGTCAAATAAATTTAAATGTCTGCCACAAAAACAAATTTAATGTAGAAAATTTCGAATCAAGTGTACTGTGTATAACGCGTTAAATATACATGTAATAATTATATATTTTAAGAATGAATAGTCTATGCATTCATCATATAAAATAAATTATATTGTCATCTTATTTCATGCAGTTATATATGATAATTTTGTTAATTTTTATTATAATTACTTTGAAGTCATATCATACTAACACTTGTTTCCCGATGGATTGAGATTGTAAATTTACACTAACTATATATAACAATTAAACTTCTTTTAATTAGTATCTTCCTCATATATGTAATAGAAAAAATGGGTAATAATGTAAAATAGTTAATTTTATAGTGTCATTTAATTACAAATTATTATTTATAATAACTTGTTGATTTTATAATAAATAAATAAATAATTATATTAAGAATGATATTTATAGATTGGGAATAGCAGCCTTTAAACTCTAGTAATATATCAAAAGTTATGCAATTTGTGTTGAAGTCCCTTGTCATGTAAAATAGTCCATTTTACATTATTGGTAGCTGGAAGGGTACAGTGGTACTTGCTGATCTTTTGTATGCAAGAAATCAAAAAGACAAGGCTGCAATTCATAGATGAATGTGTATGCGTGTTGAAATGAAAGAAAGGTGTTGGAATGGTACGTGAAAATGTGCAATGTGCTTTGTCTCATGTGACACAATTAGCAGTACAATGAGCATGATGCTATTGCTAGTGCAATGCAATTGGTAAGGCAATAGAGGTTGTGGGGTGTATGATCCAGAGGGTCCTGTTTGCTACCTAGAGCCTACATTTTGTACAAAATGCCTCTTATTGGCTATCACCCAAAAAAGAAATTCAAGCAGAATAAATTATTTTCTCTTTTTTACATATCAGACTTCTTTTTATGAAAGACAATTTTATTTGAATCAGATAGGATTATCATAAATAACACAATTATCTGAGTATGTAATAAATTGTATATCTAAGATTTGAATTCAAGATTATTGATTAAATTGAAACAATTTTATATTAATTGATTCATGTGCTCATCAATAAATCAAACTCTGTCCAGAACTTATTTCTTTTTTACAAATTTAAAGTAATATATTAACTCCAAGATGAATTTTGCCTTGCTGGGCCTGGGGGATGATGCATTTTTCTATGAGTACCTTCCCTGACCATGATTTTGTGGGATTTAGGTGTATTCCAAAATGGGACAAAATAATTCAATTCCCTCTCCAACTCAAGGCCAACAACAAAACGCCACTTAGAACATAGAAGTGACGTGCGTGGACAGTAGCTATAGGTGTAGTGAAGCAGCAGGATCATTAATCAGATAGTGCTTGTCTTCCTGCTAATTTCTCTAAAACCCAAATCCAACAACTTGTTGAGGACAGTGCAAATAAACTACTAGCTTAAGTCCTTCCAGATTCTATAATATATGACTAGACCATCTGATTAGATTTAATTAATGTGACCTTTCTAGTCAAATTGAATAAGCTATATGAGAGTTTATAAAAAAAAACAATTACATATGAAATTAAAAAAATAAAAATATTTTTAATATTTCAAATTTAGAGCGAGTAAGTTTATTTTGGTCCTCTAAATATAAAAATAACTATTTTAAAACATTTTTAATCTTGTGATTAATTAAAAGAAATAGCTATATGGTGATGCTTACTGTATATTAAGGGTATTGTGTCATAACGAATAAAGTCTCACCATGTAAGGGTCATTGATATTAAGACACATAAATTGTTCCAGTATCTCGTGTATGGGCAAGGGACAGTGGTGTCGAAACAATATATGTCAGCTGCAGAATTTCCCCAGATCATTCATATTTTTCGAATTACGACATATTCATATTCCAGCCGAGTGCGTAGAGATAGATTCTTATTTAGATATTTATGTTCCTTCATTTTAAGGCAGCTTTGAATATGTGATGAACAAGCCAACAAGTCGATGATTATGATATGAGATTGAAAATCTATTATTACCCATCTTTGATATTTTATTCTGGTTCTTGTGCATTGCGTGTTGTGACTCCAGTGTGGTGTTTAATTATCATTCTTGTTTGGGTAAAAATTATGATGTGCCTTGTCTTCTCCCTTTTCAAAAGTGTAGAATTTTAATTGTCAACATGAAATTGCTATTGCAATCTACTAAATGTCCATGATCATTGTAAAAGTAAATTCAAGTGAGATGATATCTAAAATCTAAATGGTGATACCACTCTTTTTGGACTTTTATCAAATTATATCATTTATGTTAAAATATACTTTTTTTTTTATTTTTTTATTTTAAGTTACCTGAACTTATTAGTTGTTTTAAATTATTTAATGATATAAACAACAAGTTTGCACCGACTAAACACAATAAATTATTATATAGCTTGTGACCACCATGTATTTATGATCTTGACCGTGACATATCATCAAAATTTTTAATTTATAGAAAAGAATTAATAATACTTAATTATATGTTATGTAAAGATTAATTGAAATCACGTAATCCAAATCTAAGTAATAATTTCTCACTAAACACTATTTTTGTGACATTTAAACATTAGCATGAATATTTGTGATATAGATTTAAGAAGCCATTTTTTGTCACTCTTACATATCTTATGAGAACATCTTCTAAATAAATTTGTTAGTTTACATAATTTTGATCCCTCGCTTATAATTTGAGCAAGGAAGGTGGCAACCTATATTGTTATGGAAATGATATACAGTACTATTCAACAAGTTGACCTTGTTTACTTACAGGAAACGGTATCCTTATTCTGTACGCTGAGGCTTTTGTAAGAAACGAACCACAATGAGTATGTATACAGCATATGCAGTAAAGATATGTACAGGGTTCTAAAGGAAGCAAGTGTACCACAGGCATTCAATTGCTGCAAATAATTTATCATGAGTTGGTTTTGCCTGCAATATACAGATGTATCTTGTTTGGTGGAACTCTTATCTTATTTTTTGACAACTAAACACAGTTCACAATAATGAAGAATTAATTGTTTTTTTCCTAATTCCTAAGCATTGATATACATTTCTTTTTCAAAACAAATCAAATTTTAATACAAGAGAAAGGAAAGGGGATACAAGTAGTTGGACGATAACGAATCCTCCAAGACTGACAGGAGTGTTTTCATGAGCAATGGACACAACCATGTGGCATGCCACACAGCAAATAATTGGTACATATAAATTTTTTAAAAAAATCCAGAAATTTTAGGGTATGCACAATCTTGACATTTCATGTTATTTTCGAATTCATTTTAATTTGGTAAATTCATTTGATAACTTATGTATCGTCAAACTTAATAGGATAGTTCATTCAAATTGGCATGGTAATGGATAGCAGAGCTATAGCTCAGACTAATTTCAACATTTTCATGTTTTCTTTTTTATTAAAATTTTCAATTTTTTTTCTTTTTCATTTGTAGTTTTGTATAATTGAGATAACTTTCTTCGGGTATCAAAAAGTAATAATTTATTAATATACTAAAATTATGATAATTGATAAAGCATGATTTTCAAATATTATTTATTTATTTTTATTGAAAAACCAATAATAAAAAAATAAAATTACATCTAAATATCCAATTAATAAGTCATCCGATATAATTTATAAAAAAATGACTAATTTATAAGCTCGTTTCACGTAAATATTTGTTTTTGATAAATTGATTTATCTCGCTAATTTCTAATAATTTTCAAATTTTATTTGAGGTTGTGTTCGAAAATAAAATTAATAATCAAGTCAAATACTAAAAAGTTGGATTTTGAAAAACTATTCGTTAGCTAGAAGTTTTTAACATGTTGAATTAAAAGTACTTGGAAAAAAGTTAGCTATTAAACTATTTACTATATAAAATGACAAAAAAATATACAATTTTATTTTGAAGACAACTCCTTTTTAGGTTTAGACGTTTCTAGCTTTAAATTTTAGTTAATTTTTAACTCTTATCTTTGTTGAAAAATTAGATATTTATTAAAAACTAAATAAATAGTGCAAATATTTAAGAGGACTATGATGAAATAGGGAATTAGCGGGTAAAAGTGGGACAGACAAAAAGTTATTAGTTATTACGGTCAAATATTAACATCATTAGCTACTTTTCTTTAGAAATAGTGAAATATACTGTTGATTAGCTTTTGGTAAATACTACCATATTAACTTTTTTTCTTTTTTGCTCGTACAGTTGAGGTACAAATGAATCAACAAACAACGCCATTTACTACGAATGCCTACAATAACGCAATTCAAGGCCATGAAATTAGCTAAAAATATTATATGCAGAAAGCAGAAAAATAGATTGGGTATGATAAAATGGATCCACATTCATTGCATGAATTCCTCAATTTTGACAATGTTGGTTATATTACATTAAATGAAGAGATCATCCCAATAATAAAGATTACAAAAGAATGGGAAAATAGAAAAGACAGATGGATTTTACAAGCCTACCAACATATTACAAAGAAGTCTAAAACAACCAAAAATGACAAAGGCTTAACTTCTGTTCAACCTGTCATTTGGTAATCGAAATTATTTGCGTGAACTCCAATACCAGCTGTGAACCATGATTCACGCAGCGGATATCTAAAGGGGTTAGTGGTCTTATGATTCTACTAATTCTAGCTGAATGTGAGAACCTTCTATCTTGTAATTCCAGTGCCAGCTTCCACTCTCCATCATATCTTGTTCAATCGGATCTAACTGGATTGCTAAACCTGAACCGCAATTCATGAACTTATATCAGCAGCATTCTATGACTAGAAAGCACAAATACAATTTGACTAAGGACTACAACAGGCATCTAAAGCAACAAAACCAAGAAAATGAATTTCTAAAGTTGAAGAAACCTGGGCTTCCTGGCATGATTTTCATTTTGAAGCCATCTGGAACTTCAAAGACATGATTCCCCTATATCAATTAAATAACAGCAAAAATAAACTTGTTAGTTGTGAATTTATACGTATCAAATATCCACCAGAATTAACAAAAAGAGTAATTTTAACTTATTTATTGTTTAGGCTATATAAGAGAGCAAATGCCTTTGATATGACAATGGTACTTCTCAAGATTCATTTACAAATGACTATGGGGTTAGTTTGATGGCTAAAAAATGCTACCTAATAAGTTTTAAACTCAAGGAAACCTTTTAGTGTCTAGAAAAGAAAGTGCCCCACTCCCTGACTATCATGTTGTTTAGAACAATGTGGTTTGGGTATCCTTGACAGCTATAAACCCTACTGTGTCAAGCAATACCAGGCCTGTGTCGCCATCTTACCATTCACACTCACTTCCCTAATTTCCCATCAACTATCCAATTGGTTTGATTTTAATGACAACTTTTCTTATATAGTATGAGAAATCTTTGGCTCAAACTTGCAACTAATTTTTTAAAGAGAATAAAATCCAAATTTAAACATTAACCTGTAAGACAACATCAGTAGCCTCAAATTCAGCATTTCCATGCAGTATGATCTGCAGCACCTCGGATCGCTGTACATCGTGTTTCCAGTATATGTTCCCACCATATTTCCAATCAATTCCCTTGTTCAATACCTTAACATTTTGCAATTTACATCTTCCACACCTAGCATGATGAGAAAATAAATGTGTATGAAAATGTTTGATCCTTGCAATCTAAAATAATTTTATGCCTGAGGCATTGGATTTTGTAGGTAAGATCGGGTTGATACAGGATTACAATAGTCTTGTGAAGTTATAAATACATATAGCACAGTACCTTTGCCCGTAATGTAGTATGGATTCACCACTCTCATTAATCTTCATTGAGCCCATAACATTATCAGCAACTATGACCAGGCTTCCATCGAGCTGGAATGAAGGGACAAACCACAAATGTCAGCCCATGATCTTAGCAACTCCATTCCATATAAGTTTACAAAATCTATTTGAGTACCTGAACATTCCTCCAAAAAAACTCTGCAACCTCTATTTGTAACTCAGAGCCCTCTGATATGGAACCACCATTAAACTGAGCACAAGAAAAAACGACAAAATAATTGAAACCTATGTTTCTATAAATGATGATCAACACATTAACACGAGGAATGCTAACAATGCTCAGTTTATTATTGGTTGGAATTTATTAGAAATCATAAATTTTAATTGGTCTTGTGTCTCGTTCAATAGGCATCTCTTTTGATTTAGTGGTGAAATTCACAAAAATTTATGATTTTATAATATATTTCAAACAATAGTAGAAAGTGTTAGAAAGTGAGTATCAGAGAAAGTGTTGCTAGCATTTCTCTCAACACAAATCACCCTTGTAAAGCTGTAGAACTGTCATATTCCAAACAAATTGAATTAAAGAGAGGACTACAACCAAACAATATGAAGAAAATTTTACATAAAAAGGTAATAACCATGTCTTGTCATGTGTTAGAAAATTATGGGTGGAGTGGTGACTGGACACAGACAAAACACACCCTATTTAATTAATCATATCTAACACAATTTCACTAACAAGAAAATGTGTTAAAATGCTAACTTATTAAATAGACCTTATTTCACCCATTTAAGGTAACACTTGGAACCAACAGCTTTAGAACACAACCATTTACTGATAGAATTCAATTAAACTTCCATAATTTAAAATTTATACAAGCAATACAATGCAAAAATGACAAAATTATTAATGAATGACTATTGAAAAATAACATAATGCCAGAGTTACTTTTTGCTTTGTGACTTCCCAAAGAGGACCAAGAGCAGGATGCAGAAGGATGAGAAATGGTGGTCCCGAATCAATATAGTTCTCATTAGCTTTAATCTGCAGGAGAGAGAACGTAACAAAAAATAATTGTAAGTTCCTAGAAATATAGTTATACACCCTTTACAAATTTACATGTATTACCAACTGAACTTGCAATAAAAAAATGTTTTACAGTAGCATACTAGCATAATATGAAATGGTACCCAACCCAACCAAATGAAAATGAACCGATACCATAAAACACACATCAGTATCCATATATTATACCTTAGGAAGCCTTATATCACATTGAGAAAGAAGATCATGAGCATTTCGTAAGATATCCAACAGAGCGCCATCAGGTGTCTGCATATAAATTCAAAACATATTATATATTTAGGAGCAACCATCATTACAACTCCAAGACATAAATTGTAGATTGTGTTGGAAAATGTTCAAGAACTTAAAAATAATCCTAAAACTTCAAATAACGTCTAGTTTGGTTCTTCAACTCTCACTTGTTCTAAAAACACATTTGTAAGATACTCAGATGATACCAACTGCTAAGTGAAGTGAACACTATCCTAGTATCTAAGTAAATATTAAGATCAAACCTCATAATAAGAAGCGAAAAGAACAAGAAATAAGAATACAAGGACTGTATGGAGCTAGAAATTAAATCAACACAATAAAATATCACATACTGTGTTTAGCTGATGTAAATCAAACCTGATGTAAAGACTTGTCGCCATGTCTTCTTTTTTTCTTAGCTGAGGAGGTAACCCTTCTTCTTTCATTATACACAATAAAAGTATCTAGCTTATCTGCTCACAATTATATAAGCATTTTGTTAAGCTCAACTAAATTGGAAAGGGAGCATATGGTTTGTTATATCAAACCAATACAAGTATGGTATACCTTCTACATCATTATAACATCTGGATGAATATGAATTGGAATAATTGTCAGCTATATTTTGCATTGTGCACTCAAGCCTGCCGCCAGATACACTAGTGAATCACAATGAAAACAAGGGGGATGAGTAAGTTTTACATGCAACGAAATAATCAGCAATATAGACATAGTTATAACATCTCACCACAAGAAAAATTAACTTAGAAGTTAAGACCTGTATAGAAAATTTGAAGAAACTTAATATCTACCCTTACCAACACCAACAAGTAATAAATAAGAAAACATAATCACTGCAGAAAGTTCGAATAAATTTTATTTTTAAGCCAGAAAATAACCCATCAATTTCAGCTTGTTGTCATTAATCCAAAATCAAAATTCTGTTTCTAGATACATGAATATAAATTGGTGTCAGGTAAAGAATATAGATTATGAAATGGTTCAGTAGCTACAGCTGTGACTAAACATATATATCTATTTTGAAACTTTGAAAAAGGTTATTTTTGAGAAAATATATATGTTACAGATAATACAAATTTAATCAAAAAAAAAAATGGCAACCCAATGCACGAGGCTCCAACTAAATAGGGCTTGGGGAAAGTAAATATACAGTTTTACCCCTTCAAACACATAAATTTCCCCCAAGATTTGAACCTGTGACCTTTATTTAGGTCACAAGGCAGCGACCTCACCATTGTGCTAAGGCTCACTCTTAATTTAATCTATATAAAAAGGGAAGTAATAAAATTTAATTGACAAGTTCAAGGACAAATACATACCTATGACATCTTCCAAACTGATCTGTGTAGACTATTGACTTTCTAGTATTTAGCACCATTCCAGGTAAACTATTCTCGCTCTTACTTGATCCAACTAGCTCCGCAGAAGCTAAATCAACATATAAGATGTTTGTATTGGCTGGGAACTCTGCCTGCAAGCTTGATTGCACAAAATAAAGTTGATATTTGGGTTATGCACTCCAACTTAGAAAGCCTAAGAGAGTGTCAAATCAACATCATCAAATCAAGTGACAGTCAACTGGGCAAACAAAAACAAGTCTCTGGTTGCTACAAGATTAGAAGAACACACAATAAGGCTCCAAGCCTCAAACTAGGCATTCAACTTTCTTGGGAGGTAGGGTTGGGTTTTTTTAATCCAAATGTTAATTATCTCAACTACAAATGACAATCTAACCATTAAGATAATCCCTGGAAGAAAAGAAATCAATGATATCAAATGCATTCATTTTAAAATGAAATGTATGGTTCTCCTTTGGATGCAGGTTTATAAGATGCATGTCATTCTCAATAGTCAATATTGACACAAGTTTGGGGATATTGTGTTTTTAATCATCAAAGTTTATTCATTAAAAATAGTGTCTCACTATAAGGACACCATAGCTTAAGAATTGTAAATAATTTAAAGCAACACAATATATACCACAGAATTTGGAAGAAAAAAAATTTGAACAAATTAAGTCCGTTTAGATTATGAAAAGTCAAATCACATTTTATGAGATAGCTGAAATATTGAAATAAATCAATAACAGGAAAATCATGTACCTTTTTGGAGCAAGAGGTCCAGCAGTAATTCCAAACTTGTCAAACTCGGTGTATTCAATACAAGACACACCATATTCCCAGTTCCCGTGAAGACCTTTCTTCTCCATCAGCACATTAATTCCTTCTGTGGCACCCAAGATCCGCTTACAAGATGCAAAACCTAGTTTCTGTTAAACATGCACAGTTAAGAAAGTGCAATTGATCTTATTCAACTTATGATTTCAGACTGTTTAGTTCAACAAATATTACAGAAAATAGTTTTTTTTCTTAAAGTTATCAGGCAAGATAAACTATTAAATTGGATATTGTGGTATTCAAACAAAGCATTTAAATGATAAACAGATTGACTGTGGTATGTAATTTTTTTACAGGGTATATTACTCGTCAAAGTCCCAATTATTTGCCATTTGTTGATTTACCCAAATCTTACATCAGAAATTTTACAAGACAGATGGTAAGAAATTACAATTAAGAATTATAAGCCATTATTTACCCATTTGTCATACCATGTTCTTATCTTCGTCAATATACATATAGTGATAGGAAAGTATGACATTATCGATTAAAACAACCTACACCTACCTTTCCTTGACGTAAACCTATCCCTGCCAAGGCCAGGAGGGTTAAATCTGTAGCAGCGACAACATTACTGCAAGGTCACCAGTATCAGTCACCTGTAAAAACAAGTTTCTCTACTAGAAAACTAAGAAAAGCAAACACTAGAGACATCAACCTGACTTGGCGCACAGTTGCACCTTTTCTTCCTTGACAATAAAACCATTTGAAGATGCCTTTGTCATGAGCTAGTTTCCATATGACACCATGGCCACCAGGCTTGCTCAAGGGACTGAATGGTTTAGTGACTAGCCACTGACCTTCTTCTGCACCAACAACTGGAACAAGAGGCTGCCAATTTACAAATCAGATATTTAGAGATTGTAAAAATAAGATCAGCCCTTCTAAGAAGCCATGGTATAGATCTATATAAAACCTGCTCAAAAAGTTGAAAAGTTGATCGACCTCTTCCAAACCACGAAAGTCTTTCACACAGAGAAGTGACATGTTTGTGGTTGTTCTTTGCAGAACTTGTCATAATTGCAACAGGGGTGATGCACTGCTTCCCATATAGCTTGAAGTACAAGAATTCTCTAGCCTTCAAACATAAAATGACAGAATTAGATATTTCAGTGCCATTATAAATAATTAATCTTGTCTTGTTTTTATGATCAAGAAATGAGCACAAGTAGTATGACTCTCTGTTTCATAGTTGGAGATTTAATACCTGAAGATCTCGTATAAGGCCTTCCAACAAAGTCCTTCCACAATATGGTAGCATTGCAGCAGGTAGGCATTCACCTGTCTTAGGATCAACCAAACCAAGCCTGTCGGCAGAACCTCCCAGAGGATAAATTTCACCTAGGTCTGGCAAACCCTAGAAGGACAAGATCTTATTATTCCAGGACCTAGGTAGCTATGAAGAATCTCAATCTATATGCAAGTTACAAACCAGGTAGTGTAATTAGACTAACCTCTATACCCCATAGAGCTGCTTGAGATGCATATTCTGTGTCTTCAGAGAGGTTAAGCCCATTAGGTGCATTAATTCCCAATATTTGGCTTTCATTCAAATCATGCCTGTGGTGGGACCAGTTTATATTCTGCCTCTCAAACGATTCTTCAACAAGAAGTTCCAGTACTGTTATCTGATATCTGCAGTGTATTAATGTTAGCATACATTTGTGCTCCAAATTGCAGACCACATCACCAGATGTGGCCGCAAATTTTCAGTTGTGGCAGTGTCCGCAACTGCATCCGCATCACACCGCAATTGCACTTACATGAAAATCCACTATGCAATGTACAACACAGCAGGTGAAATGGTTGCAATAAGCTTCATAGTTCATAGTCCTCTCACACATTTAGTTTTTTTAATTTTCCACTTTATTATTTTTTTTTTTATTTTGTGGATTTATAAGGAATTTTGCATAGTTAAATATACAGTAAAATGATAATGGGCTAATAACAAGGGATAGGTGGAATTTGTGAGAGAGAACAAGAGATGTAAAATGTTTAAAATGAATCATGATGGAATATGTTTGGTGCAAACATGAAATAAATTCCCGCCGCAATAAGCAATTGCAACAGTATTGCTATTGCAGTGGCGCCAACCGCAACTGCATTTGCGGCCACGATATGAAACCATTCATTGACTTATTCCAAAACAACATCCGCTCCTATTAAACCTAGTTTATACTAAGCAAAAGCGAAAAAGCGAAAACATATAATGAGGGCGAGGTGCACAAGTTCTTTTGATTCGGAATTTATAAATATATAAGAAAGGAAATGAATTAAAGCATTTTTACTCTCAATGTTAATATAATCGCTTTCAGTGAGCTTATTAATATATACTATAAAAAAATAAAAAAGCAAAAGCAACTTAAGTTAATTTTATTTCATTGTGTTGAAAAGTAAAGAACTAACCCAATAATTCCTCCAATACAGTCATAGAAGCGCTCAATTTCTGCCAACGTCTCTAATAACTTATTCAACTCCCGAATCTCGTGATCCTCCAAAGCCATCCCCAAACCCGCACCAGCATTGCCGTTATACGAATCCAAATTCTCAATCATCTCCGCCAGAGCGTAGAGCGCGCTCTTCACGGCACTATCCGCGGCGGCGGAAGCTTCCAGCGATTCTGTTTCGTCCAAACGCAGCACGTGCTCCTGCCGCGCGGCGACCAAGCACTTGAGCAGGAACAGCTGGTCGGAGCTCATCCGGAGCGACGCCAGAACCCTAGCGAGGCCGCGGCGCGAGCCGAAGAAGCGCCTCACTCTGGAATCGGCGTCAATCACTCGGAGTCTCTGGTCGAGAGAAGCGCACGCGGCGAGCCTGTCGCGGAGCGCGGCGAGCCTGGCGATTTCGCGGCGGAAGTGGAAGGGCGGCGGCGGCGGCGGCGAGACCTCCAAGGTATCGGTGGAGATTCGAGCGACGCGGCAACATGAGGATTGCGAAGACGATTGAAGAGAGAGGAAGTTGGAGAAAGAGAGAGGGTTGGAATAAGAATAAGAAGGTTTTAAGCGGAAGGAGAAGACGAAGCGGTTATTATGAGGAAGAAGCGAAGTGGAGTGAAGCATTGTTGTGTTGGATGGAATATGCAGTAATGAATATAGAAAAAATGAAAGGGTTTTTGAAGTTTGAAGGATGGAGAGAAGATGCTAGAAGCATATACCAACACGAGAAAGAGGAGGGAAAATTAATGCCATGCTTAACCGTCCATTGTCTCTTTCTCTTCTCTGCCTTTATCCTCTTCTTCTTTCGGGATTGGCTCACAGTATCTCATTTTCTCCTCACACTGTCCACAAATTTTTATTTTTTTTATTTTTTTATTATCAGTAACCATTTATTATAAAATCTTCTTTTAACCACTCAGCTAAGCTTTCAGGTTTAACCATTTTCTCCTCAGGTCAACTTTAGTGCATTATCTTGTTTTTTTCATTTACCTTCAACTCTAAATCTTATTCGATTTCACTTTATAAATGACCTGTTAGTATTTATTAAAAATTATATTAGAAAAATTAATTAAATAAAATAAATAATAAACTTGTTTAACATATAATAATATTATGAATTTTTTAAAATAGTTTTACACAATCATTCAATCATAATTATCATGTTTATCATTTTTAATAATAATTATCTTAAAAATCTACCAAATATAATTTTTAATTAATTAATTATGTAAATTTATGTTTACAGGACATGACGATTAAACCAGTAATATTATCATATTTTCTTTACACACCTTTCAAAATTTGTTAAGGGTTTTTAATATATGTAGGAGTTGAAATTGGTAAAATGAGTTAGTTTTACGCAACTAGTGAATCACAATTTAAAATTTTATTGGAAGATATATTTACTGTTCGGTTTACAGCCATATTTAGAACAGAATTAGTTCAGTAAGAAAAGAGAATGTTAGTTACTAGTTTGAAAGAAAAAAGAGGGGCAAAAATGAAGGGCTTTTTTCTTCTTTTTTTTTCAATGAGTAAAACGATGTTTTTATTAAGACACAAATGAAACAAGGCACTGATAAAAAAAATGAATCAAGGCAGGATAAATTTCAGTTAACCCTTTAAAAAAAAACAAATAATTAAATAAAACGCAACATTAGTAATCACTTTACAAGGGAAAAAAAACGTGGTGAGATTGATTGTTTTCCATTTGGAACCATGTATAAAATAGAGTGAGTTTTAATTAACAAAATCCTGTATCTATGTTCAAAAATTCCTGTTAATTTGGAAATTTCAATAAAATATATTAGAGATTTTTCTATAATATTATATGCAGGAGAGGTGTTTGGTAATCTTGGTTTTCATGTTTGGTAATCTTGTTCCTCCCATCATCAACTAATGGAGTTGACTCCTCACAACTGAGACATATTTTTTCTCCCATTATCAATTAGTAGAGTTAGCTCTTCACCACCAACTTCCCTAAGCATATTTTTACTCACGATCATACTTGTACACACTTTCCTCTGTCCAAACTTTTTTGGATACATATCTCCATCTTTACCAAAAAGGGATTTATCATCTCTTGTATTGCACTCCACTTCCATAGTAGTAGGATTTGAAGGAGGATCACTTGATAGTTCATCATCACCTTTCCTTACAAGCTTTTCATCCATTGAATATTCTTTCTCACCAATTTCATCATTCACTTCATTTGAAGATGAGAAATAATTCTCACTATGGCTAATACCATGCCCCACAACATGATCCACTAAAACTTGCTCTTGGACACCAACTTGGGGCAAATTGGTCCTACCATCATCTTCTAATGGAACTTGTTGCTGAACACTAACTTGAGTCATATTGTTCCTCTTATCATCAACTAATGGAGTTGCCTTCTCACCACCAACCTTAGGCACATTGTTCCTCCCATCATCAACCAGTGGAGCTAGCCCCTCATCACCAACCCTATGCATGTTGTTCTCCACATCATCAACTAATGGATTTGGCTCCTCACCACCAGCTTTAGGAATATTTTTCCTCCTAATCATACTTACATACACTTTCCTCTGTCTAGATTTTTTTGGATACTTATCTCCATCTTCATCAGAAGAGAATTCACCATCTTCTTTTGGATACTTAATATTTGCAGGAAGATCACCTAATAGTTCATCATCTCCGCTCCCTACAAATTCTTCATTACTTGAAAAATCCTCCTCGTCACAACTGTCATCTTTTGGTTTTAGAATATTGTCCAACACAATTAAATTATCATAATCCTCTTTATCTTCTTTAATTATTGCATTAGGCCCACCCAAGATCACAATCTTATTAATTGAGGGATCATAACACAATTCTACCTCATGTCCATTGTGTTGTGAAGTGATTACCATGTCCAACTCATCAAGGTCACAAGTAAACATACGCAAAGCAATTTTGAAACCCTTTCCTTTTTCTACCAACCAATAAACATTGCCAACATTGTTATATTGTCCATAATACTTGACTAGATCATTTAGGATAAATAAGTTCAACTTCTCTAAATCAAAATCCTCCCACACATCATTTTCACCACCAACATATTCCACCCTATCATCTTCTTTTCTAATAAACTTGCCTCCATGTTGCAAAATAAGTATGATATTATACACCATCTGCACATCACCAAAATATTTTAATATATAACAAGGACAAAGTTGTGACACCAATAGGGACCTAATTGGCATCAACTAACAAGTAAAAAAGATAACTCAAACTCGATAACAATATAATAATTGTGCAAAAACATGACACTAGTTACCTAACAAGGGTTATAACATAACACCCACATTTAAGCTGCTTCGTCAAAATAAATTATTTCTACTTTTTTATACAATCACCAATTATTAGACAAAGTTACTAACATCGCACAAGTAAGGAAGAACAGAAAAGAACAATGAGTTCAATAAGCTACTTAAAAGTTAGCATGAGAAAAATGAAGTGAACAATATGTTCAATATTCATACCTTTGCTTCGATGACAATAATTGTTATTGCCCCAAACAAGCTCCAACAACCCACACGCACAAATGAGGAAGAACAAAGAAGACAAATGCTTCAATGCCAAGAAAGAACGGATATAAATTTTTCATCTTCCCAACACCATGCATTCAAGTGACAGGCTACGTCACTCGTCCAACTCATGTTAATTGACAATGTTAATGTTTGAGTCCCAATACAGACAAAAATATTTAACGAAAATAAATACTAAGAATTAATTTGTCATTTTTTATACGTTAAGAATTACTATAATACCACCTCACAAAATCAGGACCAAATCAATACTTTACTCTTTAATAGTTTTTTTTTAGTACAATACTCTTTAAAATATTAAAGAGTAAGGTACCCCTGAAAAATTTATATATTACTCCATAATATTTTTAATTGTTACTTAGCCTTTTACAAATTATTGTTTTTAATACAGTCCTTTCTTGCCTCATAAGGCCAGCTCGGATTTGGCATGACTTCGACGCAAGTTACATGAATCGTGATGATGATGCCTTTGAATCGTGGCTCAGATAATATTGTTATAAAAAAAATTGACAAAAAATCAAAATTTAACCCGGGTAAGCCTTCAGGAACCACTCATCAAATATACAAGTCCACCAGCACAAAGCCAATTTGCTGTTTTACCATTTGGAAGACAATAGGCATAAATATCCACAAGAATGATCTCAACCATTGTTAGCGATTTATTGAAGTTGAACAAAGAAAGTATGAGAATTCTCGGTGCCAATCGAGGCCTTCTAAAGTAGCAATACACGAGTGAATAATTTGGAATTCCGTACATCATCGCCATGCGCATCAGCTTATATGTGATGACCCTCAAGGGGTAATGTCTACTCCAAAAACTGACCCTATAAATCCTCAACGCTGAAACAGTGCCCTTTCTCAATTTTCAGTCTGGATTTCAAACGACAAGAAAAGGGAAAGTACTAGCCGTCCATTGACAGACAGCGAAAATGTTAAATGCTCAAGAATAAAATAAAAAAGAATCTCGGTTGTGAACTCAGCCTCTAAGAAGGAGCTGAGAAGCTGAACCTAAATCCAGTTTTCCCACGATCGTGTTCATCCTTCCTGAGTATGTAGTAGAAGTTACCCTGAAACAATGAGAAGTGAGTCAATGTAGAAATCATACAAACTTATAAAGTCTTGACTCTTGATAAATAACAATTTAAGTTCAGAACCAAATTTTAAGGAAAATAAAAAGAAAAATTAACATTTCATTCCATCAAATAAGACTAACTACTAACTATCCCAAAGTCTTGCCACTGCACCCCATCCTCTCCCAAAAAAATATGGTTAGTTTGACCCCCAATTAATATAAAGAAATTGAACATAAACTAACCTCTAGGCGAAAAAGTCTAGTAGGAACAACAAATCCACATCCCACTGATGTTCGAAAGGATTCTAAGAACCTCCGAGGTGAAAAGCGTTTATATTCATTCTGAGTTAATTTAGCAGTATTCCCAGCACCAGCAAAAACATGACCATGGATTCCATGATCTCTCAACCACCTAACTGGAAAATCAAAAGACAGGTCTGCAAAAGCAGTAACAGCAAGATCTCCTCCAATGGAGTCCCATCTAGAGGAATCATCATCGTCATCAATAATTCCATCTCTGCTTCGTCTTCGTGGTTCGGTAGGACCTAATCCCCTAGTTTTAAATCCCCACAATGTTATTGGCCCTCCTAGGGCGCAAACCGGAGAGAAATCACCGCCCAAATAAAACCTTTCAGGAAGCGGGGATGGCTTGTTCATGAAACCATGCCCCCATGGAAAAACAGCACCAGCAGAAATCCCAAGGTTAAGTGCTGTATTATAAAACCCAAAGGGGATGGCACAGCGCACATCAAATTCCTTCATTAAAAGTGTCAAACAAGTTAGTCGAAAAAAAAAAAAAGGTGTATATATATACACACAAAAAAAAAAGCAAAGAAAATAAAAAATATATTTATACATATGATATGAGGGTTATGAACACGACTTGTTATACATGTGTTACTGAAGATGCCTTGGAGACAGGATTGCCCCATTTCCAACATTTTTTAAAGAATACATAGATAATTTTCCACCCCCCCAATATATATTATTTACCATAATCCAAAGCATTTTCCAGGCAGGTGGTGAAAAAATTGCATAACATTATAAACAATAAAGTTTGCAAATATGATTTCTGAATTACACAAGATATGGCCCCTATTAGAGAAGCATAAGACCATACGCAACCAATCATGCACCAGTGCCAAGATTTTGCAAATACTGGGAAATGGGAATAACCAAAATAGGTTGTTCAACTTAAGAGCATCCTACTCGGGCAAAGCAAGGACATTCTTTCATAAGGTGGAAAGGTCACACCCAGGTCAACCAAGCACCTCATACTCTTTCTAGAACAAACAATATTAAAACTAAATGATGTCAACATGTATAGGAAAAGAAGAATATTATTACAGATACCAGATTCTGAAATTTTCAAATGTCCAAGGAGATGGACTCTGACATGCCCAAAAGAATGGGATGTTTTAATCCTGGTTTCCAAATCCTGAATTTAAATCTAATTGAGTTGGATGGTAGAAAGGGTAAAGAATCAGAAATCATTTTCTGTTGTTCCAAAAAATACATAGATTAGTACAAATATATAGACTGCAATACAGAATAGAAGTTACAGCCTTACAGGGAAATAAGATTGGGAATAAAATCTGTACACTATCAAATCCCCCTAATTACAGTAATCAGGGTAATTAATCAATTACAAATATATAGTTATGCCAATAAATTCATTTAAAATTTCTTGTCTGCATCAATTTGGAAACTATAGCACTCTAATCATTTCAACAAGTACTACACTGCTATCACTAAACAGAAAGATTACAATTGCATTTCAGCAGATTAATTAAAGCACAAGAAAATCATCTAAATGCACCTGACGCAGAAATCGCAAGCTCCGATGATCTGGTGTAAGGCCACCTAAGTGAGTGGCAGAAAGAAAAGCATATCCTTTTGTAGGCCTAATTGGTGAGTTTCTCCTGTCAATTTTAAATGTATACTTCAAAGATGATAGTAAACCATGCCCAAGCTGCCTCCTTATAGACCTGGATGACATTCGGGATGGATCAGTCAAGGTACGCCATCCAAGAGTGTAGACTAAGTCATGGTGCCTTGCCGAGATTAAGCCAAGAGACAAGCCTAACAACTGCTCTTTGTATGAAGAAAACTCTTGCCAATCTTGGGAAAGCATTGATAGTCGTGCTACAAGAGGGGTTAACAATCCTTTCAGTCGAGGGGCATACAGCCCAACACTCACCTCTGTTGCTTGGTTGGCACCATAGGCCAAAGAGGCATCCCATAGATCACCATAACCTAATAAGTTTTTGTACTTGAGAGCACCTTCAGCAGTCCAAGAATTAGTCTAGAAGAGCATTGCAACAATTCCAAAATGGAGGGGAAAAAAAAATTAGCAGATTAAAAACTATAAATGCTCAGCAGATCAACATAAAGCTTTCAATAAAACAAGGCTGAAACAAAAATGTTATATTCCATCACAAGGAAAATATTATAGCTGAAAATTATCAGACCTTTATATTTTATCAATAGGCAACAAACAAACCATATCTTTGTCCCAACCTGATAATGTTTTAAAGATCTCAACAAATTAACATTATATAAATGGCACATACATTGTAACTTGAATCTTGATTTTCTTATCAATAATACAAGTAGCAGAAGGAACCCATTAGAAATTGAGATAATCATTCTAAAGAAGGACCTAAGCCACAATAGACTTCACTCGTGGAAAGAAAAGTTACATTGGAGCTCCAAGAATTTGGAGTTTGTTCTTAATTGCCACCCTTTCAAATACTTATCTCTAACCAAATAACTAATAACAGGGAAAAAAAAGAGCAACATCCAAAAGAACTGCTGCTCATCCCTAAGCATAATACCAATAGCCAAGAAGTGAGCCAATGGTATATATGTCTAGAACAAGTTTACAAGAGCTTTTGAAAGTTTCATTACCGGAAAAAAAAATCTTTATTTTTAGTGAGGAACTATCAAAAGCTCTTCTAAGCCTATTTCCAAACAGGCTCATAGTAGTTTGCTTTGTCGTAATTGTATAAAAGCTTTCACATTATAAGGGGGCAAAAAGCAGGATGGAAATCAAACCTCCCAAGGACAGAAAGAGTACGTGATTTCTAAACAATTTAACCAAACCAAAGCTTATGGAAGAAACGGATGGAAATCAGGAAGTGACACTTTTAGAGCAAGCCAAACCCAGTCCAAGGATGCCCTTAGTTTATGATAACCAGCAACAGTGCCGTTCTCTCGAAATGTAGACATGTTACACTCACCTAAAAATTGTGATCATTGTCCTGACTCCTAATTAAACTATCCAAAATAGAAGCCTCCTTCCTTTATTTTTTCAATGATTATATATTTGCTGTGGCGTTTGCACTACTGTACTAGCATCTCAAATGGAAAGCTACAAAAGCATTCTCATATAAACCATCATTAATTAAAATCCCTGCAACATTTCAAATTCCTTATAACGCCTCAAATAACACAAACATCTATCGCTATGAATTCATCACATACGACAAAAATAGAGAGCGAGATTGTACCGCGGGTTTGGTGTAAACGCCGAAATCGCCGGAGATTTTGTCGGCGGTCTCGACGACTTCGACGACGACATTGGTGGTGTGAGGCAGCTCCGGCGGTCCGGCCTCGAGCCGGAGCTCGGTGGAATCGAAAATCCCGAGGCTCCGGAGCCTGGCGACGGCGATTTCGGAGGCGCGAATTAGGTCCTGCACGGTGGCGGCGTCCTCGAGGGGCTTGAGCTCCGCCTCAATCACCCAATCCTTGGTCTTCGTGTTGCCGCGAATCAGCACGTCGTGGACTCGGATAGGAACCAGCTCCGACGCCAAGCGCCGCGACAGGGTTTGCAGCTTCGAACGCTCCTCGCGCAACCGCGACAATGGGGATTGCTCGCCAGGGTCCTGCGATACGTCGTCGTCGTCGTCTTCCTCTTCGTCTTCGTCTTCGTCGATCTCGTCTTCTTCTTCGGCATTGTTAGGGTTTGGAGAGAAGGGAAGTTTTTCGTTTTTTTCATCTGAGTTTTCCATTGATCGGATTCGAAGGTTGGAGACGAAGGAAGAGTGTGAGTGGGTAAAAGCAACGCACTAGGTTTTTGCTTCTTTTTTGTTTATTTATTTATTTTAATTCAAAAAACCAGTGTCTTCTGTATTTCTGAAGTTGAAAATTATGATAGAAAAATGTTTCTCGATTTAAATCATTTTTTAATAAGTTAAAAAATTATCATCGAGTAGTTTATAATCACATTCTTTAAGAAAATTATAAATCTATTTTAATCAAATAATTATTGAAAAAGAAAATAGTAATTTGATAAAATTTATTAGATAAGTATTGCAAAGCGAGAAAAAAATAATATAATTGTACGAGGAAAAATTAATGCAACAATTAGTTATTAAAAATTTACACCGCTTTCAAAAAAAAAATTGCACTCGAATTTACAAAATATTTAATGTTCTTTTTTTAATATTCTCTTTATTACATGTTACTTTCTCCATATAATAATTTTTTATATTTAAATTTTTAAAATTTCAATTTTTTTAATACTAATATGTTAGTTTAAAGTATTCTCATTTAAAAAGAGTAATTATAGTGTAGAAATAATAAAACAATTGTTAAATAGTGAAAAAAAGTAAATTAATATTACTTACAATGAGTAAAACATCAACAACAACAAAAATGAACACAAGAAAAAAAAAACTAAAACTGCAAAAATTATGGGCAAGACAAATTAAAATTTATCAAAATAAATTACAAATTTTATTTAATCTTGCTGCTAAATTAAGACATATTCATACATCTATTACTAAATCAAGAGAGAGTGAAGAATTCTCTTTTAATCAATAAATTCATTAAATGAGACTGAAATTAACCAAAAATTGTAATTTCTTCTGATAAATATTTCAGCCAATAATAAAACTAGTGTCGGATAGATTATGGTCGAGTTTTCTCTCTAACTAATTATTTTAAACAGTTTCATTTCATGCACAATCAACTAATGAAGAAGTGAGGCTATAGTATTCACAACGTTTTGGGCCAACCGTTATGCAGGAAAATTGGGCCAGCCCATTACCTCCACACAAGCAAACAAAAAACTCAATCTCCTGGATATAACGAGCAATCTCGTAGGCGCCCAGACTCAAAATTCAAATCAGGACCACCACGGGGACCACCGGTAGCGCCGCCGCAGATTGAATTCCGAAATGGCGAAGGAGGATGTGGATGAACTCTTATCTTCCTTGATCTCAGAAATCCACTCCTACACCGGCAAAGACCCTCTTCTTCCCTGGCTTCGGTACCCTTCAATTCCCACTCTCTTTCTCCACTTCACTTTTCTATTCACTCACTCATTCCCAACCTTGCAGCGCCATCCGAAAGATGAAGGACACTCTTCCTCCCAAAACCCTAAAGGAAAAACTCCCCCCGTTCTTGCAGAAAATCGCCCACACCTTCGAGCTCGATCGACGTTACAGAAACGACATGCGCTATCTTCGCGTTTGGCTCCACCTGGTAACCCAAACACCATTTCCCTCTTTTTCACTCATTTCCAGAACTGGGTTCGGGAAATCAACCCCAAAGTTTTTATTTTTATATTATTGCTATTGGATTTAGCGAGTTCTTAAATTTTTTAAATTACTATTCCTCTGATTGGTAGATGGATTTTGTGGAGGATCCGAGAGTGCTTTTGAGAACGATGGAGGTGAATTGCATTGGCACAAAGCGTTGTCAATTCTACCAAGCATATGCTCTTTACTACGAGAAGAGCAAGAAGTATGATGAGGCAGAGAAAATGTACCATCTCGGAGTGAAGAAGTAAGTTCTCTGCTGTGATCATCAGCGTCTTGTTTTTATTGTGGTGTTGTAAGTTGTTGAGTACATGATTAGTGATGGAACTTAGCACCGAACTTCGTACAAACAATAATTAACACGGTTCCTTGATAGTTGCCTTGCCTAGTGTCATCACAAACATCCCTTCTCTGTTTTTTTATTTTTTCCTTTACACATAGATGAGTGTTAGCAACACACTCTTTACCATGGATTAAAATTTGTTGCAAACTATAAAATAATGAGTGAAAGCTTATTGAATAAGAAGTAAGATTCTATAAATATGTGATTTTTGATAATTTTTAATTTTTAATAATAGTGTGATAGAAGAAGTCTTAATAGTGTGATAGATGAAGTCTTACTAGCACTTCTCCAGATAGGCTTAAGATGTATCACTGAGTATTTTTAACTATTTAGCTTAAACACTCTCACCTTTAACTGGATCAGGTGTCCCGTTTAATTTATTGTTGCAGTGTTTGATGCTCCGATTAAATTGGGATAGAAAACTCACATGAACTTGCCCTTAGATTATGCTTGAAACTTGGTGGATGTATATTTTCAATGGATTTTTATTTCTCATAATTTCAATTTAGCAGATTAGCACAGCAAATAACTACTTAGTACTTTAATTGGTATGAGAATGGGATGTATCTCTTTCCATAAAATTTCAAAATCATTTTTACCTTGCCTTTTCTGAACAGCCTTGCAGAGCCTCTTGACGACTTGCAGAAATCATATGAACAGTTTCTTCAACGCAAGGAGCGAAGAAATAATAAGAGAATCCAGGTAGTGACTTGCTTTTCCTTTATGTGGTTGTGTTGTTTTAGCCTTCTAGGCATCTCGTTGTTACTGCTAGTGATGTTCAGTTAGCTAAATTAGAAGAATCTCCTGCAGCATCAGGAAGGAAAAGTTGCCAGGAAGCCTCTGTCTTCAAATACCTTCCCTTCTCTTGACAAAAAGACTGAGGGAAGCAAAAGCAATGGAGCATGCTGTGTTGAGGGTGTGCAAAAGGGACCCCAAATTGAGAATTATGCAACTAAAAGTGAAGCTGATGATCAAAACGTAAGGACTAAGAAGGATGAGTGCAAAAGATTTCGTGGTGATGATACAGTTGTAGTTAAGTTTGTTGACACTGCCATGGTAGGAAAGTCTGAAGCAGAAGATGCATGCCATCATGGATTAGTGGATCCTACAATAAATATGAAGGAAGCCATGAATGCCATAAACAGCATGTTCCGGGAGCCATTAGAGACTGTTCCATTAGGCAGGAAATCACTTAAAAACCATTCAAAAGAAGTTCATTGTACAAAGAACGAGTTTGAGGTTTTTGTTGATGAAAACTTGGATCATGGAATCAAACCATCAGGTTCCTTGTCACTTCAGAACAGGACTGAAGCTAGCCAACCTCACCAAGAACCGTTCCAGATATATATTGATGACGAAGAACATTTGAATACGAATGATGTGAATGTGAATTTGTCTGAAGGTTGTACTTCATCAGCTTCACAACCAAATGGCTTTGTTTTTCTTCGCCCCAAGGATATTCCTTCTGAAAAGTCTAGTAAAATGGATGCTGAAAGCTCTCGTAATTCAAAGTTCAGAGAGGATACAGTTGTTCGCAGATTTGTTGGTTCCACCATTTTGGATGAACCAGAGGTGGAAAATGTTTGCCACCATGGATTAGTAGACCCCACCATCAACTTGAAGGAAGCTATGGATGACATAAATAACATGTTCGGGAAGCCAATAGATTTTGTTAGGAAAAGAAGATCCACCAAGAAGGAGAAAGCACCCCAAAGCAATAGGGGAAATGACTTTGGTGGGTTTTCAATCCTTGCTGATGATGACCTCCCGGAACAAAAACTTCCACCACCACCAGCACCAAAATTGCCAGGAAAGTCAAAGGAGTCTGATTTGTTTGAGCCAACTCTCCTCACAAAGGAAGCCATGGACGATATAAACAAGATGTTTAACATGCCTCTGAATTTTTAGGTGATTGCTGAGTGCCTATTCTGATTTCTGATTTGTAAGCAGAATTTGATTGTGTGAGGTATTCGAATAAAAGGTTTCAGTTGTCCTTTTTCTACCAACTTTTCTAACTTAAAGCCAGCCTATTCAAATACAAGTTTAAAATAATTTTTGAGAGTTTTTCTATCAAAAATAAAGAGCTTTTCTGGTAGAGAAGCTTCTAAAAACACTTTTAGCTTGTATCCAAATAAGCTACTTTCTATGATTATGGAACTTGATACTCAGATTGTGAAAATACTCCAATTTTTTGAAGGAATAAAAATATTAAAGAACCCACAGTAACATTGCAATTTAGTTTAATACAGAAAAATACCAGAAGGGTATAAACCAAAAAAATAAAAATTAAAAAGAAAAGAAAGGAACATCTTCAGATTGAATACTATGTAGACACAAATAATAGGCAACAATAAAATCATGATCCAGTGAATCTCAATGCATGATCAAGGGTAATTGTTTGAGACATCAGTAGTGAGTCTGTGAGCAATCAGAGGGACGGAAAGCCAAGGGTCCAGAAGCATATATGACAGCCTCGTACTTGCTTCCATGCAATTTTTTGTTCTCATAACGAAGTGGAGCTCCATTAAGACCATAATTGACATTGGACAGAAGGCTGCAACTTTCAAGAGGAGACCAAACAGGCTTCACGTAGCAAGAGTGGAGGGGATGATCAAGAATATAATGCTGCATCTTGAACCCTTCTAGTGGTGCATAAAGGTAACCATTTTTGTCTGTCTCAAAGACCTTATAGTAGCTGACATGACCATTGTGGCTTTTGCAGGTAACACTTACTTTGGCTGAAGGAATGGGCTTGGCTCCAATCAAAGACCACGTTCCAAAGTGATCACAGCTCTGACAGTAAACAGTAGCTTCCACCACCACCTCTATTTTCTTTTCTGTTTGTTTTGGAACATCTGCAGTGGCTTCTGTGTAAGGGAAAGCCACCATGAAAAGCAAGAGAGAAAGAATGCTGAAATGCCTGCTAGCCATTTCCTTGAGGAGTGAACTGAAGGGACTAGGAAGAGTTCAGAGACCAAGGCTTACCAATTGAGACATTCTGTAGATTGATATATATATATATAGCTGATAGGTCATTGGCAGTCCTGGACTAGTAGTATCTAATTGATGATAAGCAGATCAACGTGCCATCCATTATGCTGCCAATAATTCTCATACTTTATATCTATCTATATACGTGATGGTCACCTTTTGCCATGTACTTGTATGTAGGTGCATCTGTGTATAACATTATAAATAATTAGTGTGTGAAACGGGATATATGTTTAGTTATGAAATTATAAAATGATATTGACCCATAGATATTCCCAAATTTATTAGTAAATTTCATTAAAACAGCTATTAAAAGTTGATACTGATGAGAATTACTGAATTAGTATTTTGTATTATAATTATAATTTATAAATATAATATATAAGATGAATGCCAAAAACATACGATTTCCGGCATTCAATATCCGACAAATTGATTTCAATAAAACGTGAAATCAAAAATTAAAATAGTCTTTTTTTTAACAGCAAATTTAAAACAATCTTCATTAAAAAAAATTAAATATGATAAGAGTAAATAGTGAATATATTGTTATCAAATATCAAATAACAGATTACCATATATGGTAAGCTGACTTTTAGGATAACTATGTTTTTATGATTAAGAACTAATTATGATTAATTAACAATATAATTTTTTTTATACTAACAATAGAAGTTAAATTCTAAAGAAAGATACTTTCATATTAAGGTACAATATATGAACTTGTGATAGTAATACAGTTATGTAATAAATATGTTTCTATCGATACTAAATTTTGTTCATGCACAACTATATGCATCGTGTAAATATAAATTAAAATAACTTTTTAATAAGAATATTTTTTAATAAAATAGTTTTTTTAATTATTATTATTTAATGATAGTATTTTTAAGATTTTTTTTAAAAATTTAATATTTAAAAAATAATAATTAAAATTAACATTGTATTATGATATAAATTATTTATTACAAATAAAATATAATTATATATATATATATATATTGAAAGTTTTATTTATTTCTATATATTCAAAAGCACTTATTTTTATTATACAAACTGATTGATGATGGGAACAAAATATTTTGCATGTTTACTTTTGTTATCTCTAATTTGTGTCACATTACATTTTCACGTAAAAAACAAGAAAAAGACACTAAGTAAGCCTGAATTGCTTTTTATTAATCTGCGTCCAGGGGGTGATCCATAAGACCATAAAGTATAAATAGTAAACTCAATTTACAAGTGATTAGTTTTAATATAACTATACTGTAAAATTATTTTGACAAGCCATTTATCAACTGGATTACTTATTTATTTCAACATTTTAAATTGTATAATGATTAAATAGTGTTTCTTTTTTGTTTTTTTTTCTTTTTTAACACCGTATCCCAAGCAGTAAAGCAGAGACTAGTCCCTTAATAATATTAAATAGGTTTAAATATGTTTTTAGTTTATCAAATTTAAGGTGAATTTGTGTCTCTCAAATTTAAAATTATTATTTTTAGTTCGTATAGTTTAAAAAAATATTATTTTAGTCTCTCACGTTACCAATAACATATCTAAAAGCAATGACGGATTCATGTACATCCGTGTGGGGGGCAGTTGCCCCCACTAATTTTTCAATTTTTTCTTTTTAATATATATAATATTATATTATCTTCATTGATCTTGTAAAAAAAAGAAACATAACTCAATTAGCACTCCAGCCACATTGTCTGGTAAAACATTACGTACGGCAAGAGGTAGTAATTGCTCCATTAGAATATGACAATCATGACTTTTTAGGCCAAATATCTTTCCATTTTTTAAGTCAATACACCTTGTAATGTTACTTGAGTACCCATCTAGAACTCTAACATTTTTCAAAGTTTTCAAAATGTTTTTTTTTCTTTGCTTTTGACAGTGAGAACAAAGATGGAGGAAATCTTCCATTAGAATCTGGCCAAAGGTCTTTCCTTATACCCATTTCTTTAAGATCCTTCCGTGCTTTAAGATTATCTTTTGATTTCTTAGAGTCATTAAGCAAAGTGTACACCACATTATCACATACATTTTTTTCAATGTGCATTACATCTAGACAATGGCGCAACAAGTTGGTTTCCCAATAAGGAGGATTAAAAAAAATGCTTTTCTTCCTCCATAGTTCTGGTCCAATAGATTCAACAACTTTCTTTCCTCGAGTTCTTTTACCTATTTCATTAGACTCTAATGGTTTCCCAAATGTAACATTAATTTCTTCAACTTGTTTAAATATGTCTGACCCTGACAAAGTTATCGGTGGATCCCTTTGCTCAATTCTCCCATTAAAATGCGATCGACTCAATCTGAATTTATGCCCTATTTCTAAAAAACAACGGTGTGCCATAAAACTGATTTTTTCCATTATATAGCCAACAAGAGTCTGTGTCAAAGTTACATGTTGGGCAAGCAAGACTAGTGTGCGTGTTCCACCCAGATAAGGTACCAAGCCCTGGAAAATCACTAATTGTCCACATCAAAGTTGCTCGCATTCTAAACATTTCATTTTTTGAAGAATCAAATGTTTGCACTCCATCAAACCATAACTTTTTCAACTCTTTGATGAGTGGTTGTAAGTATACATCTATGTCATTTCCAGGCATTTGTTTTCCAGGAATGATCATAGAGAGGATTAACGAGGTTTGCTTCATACACTCCCAAGGAGGGCGATTATATGGGATAAGGACTACTGGCCAAATACTATGGCTTGTACTCATGGCTCCAAAAGGGTTGAAACCATCACTAGTTAAGCCAAGTCGTACCTTCCGAGGATCAATAGAAAATTCTGGATGAAGTAGGTCAAATGTTTTCCAAGGATCCACGCCGTCATGGCGGCCGCCAACGCTCCGATTGCCATGCGAGAACCTCTCACCGTAAGTTCCCGTACTCTTCTTTTTCTCTCCATTCCTTAGCTCAATTCGCAGCTCCACTTCCGAACTTAACTACAGCAAATACATGCTATCTTTATAGCACAATAATAGCTATCCAAGTTTTTCAATTTACTCTTACGCTTTACTAGATTCCGATTTTCCGATTCGAGTATTCCGCGGTAGATTCGATCGGTGGCGTTGCGAACTTCGCCGCGCTACTTTACTTTCTTACTTTTGAGTTTGCGTAGATCTGGATGTGTCTTGTGCCGTGTCTGATCTCTAGAGCTAGAAATTCATTCATGAAGCTATTGCCTGTGTGTTGTGAATTGAGTGATGTGATTCGTGATTTGTGACTGCAGTTACCGAGCATTGGCATAAATCCGCAGTTCATCACCAACTATTTTTACAATTTTTTGGGTGCTCATTTGATCTTATTGCATTTTTATTTATTTTTAAAAGCCTAAATATATTTCCACTAGTAGTTTCTCTCGAGTTTAATTCTATTTTATGTTATACCAATACTAATTGTAACAAAAATAAAAATAAAAATACATTTAGACTAGAAAAAAGAGAACGGAAAGATAGTTGTGCAAAGCCGTAAGTTGTTATTAATTTCTTTTTTAATATTTTATATCTTTTTTGTATTTTATTTTTACTTTTTTCAATTCTATTCATATTTTGAGATTCCTCTCTACCTCTAACATATTTTAAAGTATAGAGGAGTGAAATTGAAAAATAAAAAATAAAAACAAACAAACTTCTTCATCCATCTCTACTCCTTCATATTTCAATAGATAAACTATATATTTAAAATGATCTTTAGGGTTAGTGTATTTAAAGTTATTATTTTTATATTACTTTATTTGAATTATTTTTTATTTTCAATGAGAAATTCAGTATTTTAATTTTTATTTACTCATTCTATTTTTATATTTAGAAGAAACATTGTATGTTATGAACATTACATTAATTAAAATTATATTGCTTTTAGTTATAGTAATGAAAAGGTATTTTAAAAGAAAATCATCTTCAGAGCAACCATCTTCTCCTCGAATACATGTTGAAAAAGAAGTCAAATTGGGTCCATCAACCAAAAAGAGAATTTTAGAATGTGATTTGGAAAGACTTCCTGATCTTTGTCTAAGGCCAAAAATTTCAAATTATCATCCAAGTGATAGAGATGAAGTTAGAAGGGATTGATGATCTTCCTATGAAGCTTGTGAAGACAAGAAAATATGTTGTATATCCATTGGTGTATTTGCTTTTAAAGCTAGCCTTGATACTACTAGTGACAACTGCATCAGTTGAAAGAGTTTTTTCTGCTATGTATATCATCAAGAATCCGATGTGAAATTGTATGAGAGATGAATGATTAAATGATTGTTTAGTTACTTATATATATAGAGAGAGGTTTTTGATAGTATTGAAAATGAGCAAATCATTCAATATTTTCAAACTATAAAAACTCGTAAAAAATAATTATGATATGTATTTGTCTTTATAGAAATTTTATTTATATTTTGACAAATTTATATATTTAAATATTGCCCCCACTACTTAAATTTTCTGAATCCGTCACTGTCTAAAAGTGATAAATTAAGACAATTATATAATATCAATTGCATTTAATATAATGTTTTCACTAACAAGAACACTAATAGGTAGATTTTATGTAATAATGTTTAATAAATTTCTTAACAAAATTTGAATATAAAGACTAAAATAAGATTTTTGAAAATTATAAAGACTAAAAACAACCGTTTTAAATTTAAAAGACCAAAATTAAATTTATCTTAAATTTAATGGACTTTATATTTAAACCTATTAAATATGTATGAGATATAATTATCCATCTATATTACATTATATTGTGATTAGTCTTAATATACACTATATGACAGGTCCACGTAACATATTTTTATCTAAAACAAAATTTGATGTGAAACTTTTAAAAACTAATTAAAGTAATAAAAAAAATTGAGTCTTTATAATAGATAAAATTATTTTTTTACCGGTAATATTCAAACTCTATTTATAAAAAAAAAATACATGCTAATTATTATTATACTAAACGATATAATTTTTTAGGAGGTCTAAAGTAAGGGACTACTTAACTTTATAGTTGGGTTGTATATGGTTAGGTATATTACATAGTATTTTGGTACAAGAAACATAATTATATGTAATACTGTGTTATTTTTTAATTACGTATACTTGTGATATATGTAATTAAGAATTATATTTTTGTTGTTGTTGTTTTAGCTTTTATGGAGTAAAAGTTAGAGTTGAGATAACTCTAAATTTAAGTTATAGAGAATATAGCTTAAATGTGTAAGAGTTGACTCGAAAAAGACTAAAATATATAAAGCGAATTTTGATAAATGAACTTCATAAGTTCATAACTTTAGAATTTTATAGAGAAGTTAGAGAGAAGTGTTTTAGAGCCAACAGAGTTCGATCTTCGACCTAATTCCACCAAAAGATCTATTTTCTCCCCTTGTTTGTTAGTTGATGTGGTATAAACTGATATTCAAGTTGAGGAGTTGAGAATCTTAAAAAGAAGCCGTCGTATGAGAGTTCAAAGTTTTCAAATTTTCTTCCTTTCTTCCTTGTATTTTGAAGCAATTGAGGGAAGGTAAACTTGTTTGATTTTCTAAGTTGTGTATGGTATTTTTGTCGTGTTGACTTATGCTTTGCTAAGCATTGAAGTTGAGATTGAGAATAAAACTTGGTGTTCTTGGTAAAGAATGAAGAAATTGACGATCTTGATGTGTTTAATGGTTGCATGTGACATTTTATTTAGTTTTTGAGTTATATAATTATAATAGATGACTATTCTTGAGTTACATGTATGAATCTTGTGGTTAGATGAGAGAATTTATGGAGTTGCCATGTTGTTCTTGAGTTGTGTTTGTTTTTGGATTTATGCATATTTTTTGGGTTTGATCGCTTAATGCGCTCATGGGAGTTGCTCATAGCAAGGAAATGAGGTTGTTTAGAGTACTCTTTGACTTGGCTTGCTTAGAACGCTCATCATGGATGCTCAAAGTAAATTATAGTAATTTTGAGCTAATTGTTGGGCACTACCAATGAATTTTAGTAGCTTTGAGCTAGTTATTGGGTATTTCGAGTGAATTTTAGTAATTTCGAGCTAGCTGTTGGGTGCTCTAAGTGAATTCCAGTTGCTCTAAGCAAGTTCTAGGGTGCTTGAAGTGCCTGTTTTCCTTTATAAACTTATTGAATTGGTTATTTACATGATGTATGATAAAGATTGAATGTAGTTCATTAAATATTAACCTATGATGATGTATGATGATGATTTAAGTTGCCTAATGTTGTAAGTTGCTTGCTGTTGTAAGTTGTCTAATGTTGTAAGATGCCTACAGTTATAAGTTGAGTTGTATGTTGTATTATTGAGGTAGTTTTGTTGAGAATGATTAGAGCATTATGTTGAGTTATGTTGATTAACTTAAGACTAGTGCTATCAAAATAGGCCAGCCTGGCCCATGTGGACCGGTCCACCTTAACCTACTTTAAAAATGGATCAACCCAACCTAGCCCATTTTTGCCCGACCCACCACGGGTTGTTGAGTTATACAAGCCAACCTACCAGCCCACCAAAAATTTTAAAAAAATTATCAACAAAATTCAAAATTTTAAAATAATTATAAATTAACATAATAGTCATGAAATTAGCATCATTAATAGTCATAAGTCATAACTCATCATACAAACTTAAATACAAATCATGATAAAAGTCAAAAATAAAAAAAATTAATATCTCATCATACAAAATTAACTATAAATCATAATTAAATTTTCATTACAAGAAAAAAATTGGTGGGCTGCCCGGCTCACCACGGGTTCAACCCGAGTGAGCCAAGTGAAAGTAGGCCGGATTTAGATATACCCACCTATTATAAAATTTTCATTTTTTTTGCCTTGCCCGACCCATTTTCAAGGTGGGTCAGGTTAACCCACGGGGCACAACTCATTTTGACTACTCTACTTAAGACTAAATGAGAAATTATTTTAAAACTGAATATCTCATTGTGAAGATATTGTGTTGTGATGTCCTTTGAGTCCATTTGTTGAAAACTTTTTTTGAGCTTACTTATGAACTTATTCATCACCTTTTATTTTCATATTATCTTCATTGTTTATCAAATTATTCATTTTATGTTATTTTAATCCTTATAAAATGAATAAAACTTGAAAATAATTTTATACATTATATAATAAAACATTAATAAATTAATTAAGTAAAATATCAAGCCAAAGTTTGTTTGAACTATAAAAAACTTAATTCGATAATTTTTTTATTTAAATTATATATATATTATTACCATTATTATAATATATATATATATATATATATATATATATGTTTATATATTTGATTAAACTTTCAATTTAGTTCTCTAAAATTACATGTGTAACACTCATAAGTATTCTTAAATTTTGGTGACTAAATTAATCCATCAAATATTTAATTTGTGACCGCATTATTTTGTCAAAGATTCTTTTTATCCATCACCAATTTAGTCCTCCCCCTTAAATTGTGGAAGGAGTAGTTTAGTAATAAATTAAATCTTTGAAAGACTAAAAAATGACAAAATCCTTGGATGAATATTTACGATGACGTTTTAAATTCTTGAGAGACTGGTATTATATTATTAAATGTTTAAAAGATTTATGTAGTGACAAGCTTTAACTTTAGAAAACTAAACTCAAATTTATTTTCTATTTCTTTATTTGGATTAAAATATAAATAAAATAACATTTTAATGAATGGAGTAGATGTCATATGAATAAAAAAAATGTATCACATTATAAATTCGTCATTATTGGATTTCATTTATTTATTTTTGCAACCACCCTAATTAAGACTTTCGGCTCATGAACTTTAAAGATTTTCTTACAAACTTCAGTCCTTTTGACTGATATGAAACATCATCGATCCAAGGTTTAATCGCGAGTAAAATTCCTGGTTCCTCCCCCAAAAATATATTCGTCACTGGATTATTGGTAATAAGAGATAATGGCCAATTAATGAAATAATCATAATATAAGGGCCAAATAAGAACATTTCAAAATTCATGATTTCAATTGACAAGAAAAATCAAATTTTGGTGTACCTAGATACTATTTTCCTCGATAGAAGTTAGAAATGATATTGACACTAACACCATCAATCTTTTTCTTTTTGTATTCTAAAATGCCTACGGTTTCTTTAGTCATTGATTTTTCTAGAATGATGAGTAATGCACAGGTTAAGATCAAGCATGTTATCTTCAATTGGCAACTGTCGTATCGTATAGCAAAAGCAATTGTCACAAGTCAGATTCGAACAAAGTCAGTCATGCAGCTGCTATTGAAATTTTCTGGATCCCGTTATTCTATTTTGCAGGCTACAGCTTGGCATTTTGTGACATGCAGATGTCATTTCCCAACAAACATTGTTCATTCTTTACCATAGAAAATTAACAAGCCCCCATAAGACTTTGACCTTGTCCATAAGTATTATTAAAATATCAAACATCACAACCACAACTTTTTTTTTTTTTTTACAGAAAATATCTATCACATGTTGATAAACATGGTATTATTACAAAATATTTATCATAAAAAATAGTGAATAAATTGTGTCAAGATTCAAATCTAAATAATATATTTAATTGACACAAATAGCTAAAGCTAGTGTTGGTTTCACAACCACAACCTAAACCCTCTTATTCTTTTCATATAAATTTCAACTAGGGCTAATGAAAGGCCCTCATGGTTTTCAACACACGTGAGTAGAACTATAGTAACTGAACTATTTGTTCCTCAGAACAAATCGTATTGCCTATGAAAGATAGCAATTTGGAAGAAAAAAAGGGGGAGGATAGTGGCGGTGAGAAATATAATTAAAAATAATTTTAATTCACCAAATAAACTGACAGAGCAAATGAAAATAACTCATGTGAAACTTTTTTGTTAGTGTAATTTTATAAACAATAACCAAACGAAACACCCAAGAAAATAAAAAAAATAAAAAACACATTTTTCTTTTTATCTCCCTTATGTACATGTAATTTGGCACTTTTCTGTAATAAACACAAGATGTATTAATCTACAGGTGAATACACTTTAGCGGCTTCACCGATTGAAAAAGGATGAGGATGGTAAGAACCCCATACTTAACAACCTGATTTACCGATTTCAGCTTGCATCTACAGAAGAAATCTCAAGCTCTGCCCACCAAAGTGGAGAAAGTTTTGGAGTAGCTGCTTCAGGTGTTATTTTTGTTATCTCTCTTAATCTCACACAAACTTCCTTCATTGTTGGTCTTTGCTTTTGATCAGGATGGACACAAGATTTAATCAAAGCAGCAACTTGCTCCACCTGTTGTTCTTGGAATGATGCTAGAGTTGGATCCACCATTTCTCTGAGGGGTTGGTCCCCTTGTAAATAGCGTGAAGCCCAGTCATCAAGTGAGCCATCATTGTTCACTGAATAAGGGAGTCTTCCAGTTACCATTTCTAATAGAATAACACCGAAGCTGTAAACATTACATGCTAGTGTTGTGTCGGTATGTTTTCCAGCAGTAGATTTTATCACAGCTGAAGCTATTTCATTTGAGAAACTAAGATCTGCGATTTTGGCGGCGTAATCATCGGTGAGTTGGACGGACGACGAGTTCAGGTTGCTTAGGGTCAAAGGCGGGTCCATCTGGTGCAGATGTTGTAGGCAGTAAGCCATGCCCATGGCAGCTCTAAGTCTTGTTACCCAATCCAAGTGCTCAGCTTCTTTTACTGTAATTCCCAACAAAATCAAATACATAAGCTAGATTCCAATTTAAACACCAAAAAGTCCTTAAAAGCAAATATTGTAAGCATATAAATTCCAAAATACTGTAAGCTCAATGTCTCACACAAATATACTTCAAAACCTAATTCAAGCGTATATTTGGATTTCTGTTTGGAGCCTCCAAAATGGACGTTCACACTTTCCAAGGAGACAAATGGAGAAGCAAACATGTTGTAACTGAGTTGAACTGCAGTTACGTTGAAACAAACTGTTCCAAACACACTAGCAGGGCTATTAATCTAGCAAACTATCTTTGGGGATGGGATGAGCATTATAAAACTGATTAGTTGAAATCTTTTGTTTTTAACTTTTTGGGGCTCTCCTATATATCCTTATGCTCTAAATTGCACTGAGATGCAATTTCATTTTTTTATTATTTATAGACATAATTTACACAATATCTTAAAACTTACAGTTAAGGACTAATATTCATTATCAATACGTGATTTTCTACGGTCAAACATTATTTTAACATTGTGGGAATTGAACTTGAGAATATCAGGCCAACCATCCGTGTACTAGGACAGATCTTACATCCATTGCGCTGACATGTTATAGCAAAACACTAAATAGGTTGAATGGTTGATAGAACACAGCATCTTTTATATATAATATCTACAATGAGTCAGAAAATGCCTTAGTGGGTGACCAAACCCATATGTCCTCGTCCGGTTATGTCTATCGGATGATATCTATCCAATGCGTTAAAGTTTTATTAGTATTCAATGATCAGAGGTGATGCTATAGCAAAACTAGATGACAGCAAATTAAAAGTTAATGATCATAAATAGGGATACTCAATCATTAATTTACTTTCTATGTAATAATAACGTTAAAATAAAAGGCACTCACTGTGTAAATGCTCAAAGAGTGTTCCATTTGGAGCATATTCAAAAACCATCATTCTGGTGAAAGGCTCATCTTCTTCACAATGTCCAAGAAGATTTACATAATTCTTGTGGTTCACTTTTGATAATGTATCTATCTGAAACCATAATTGCTTGAAATGTCAGTTACAATAGCAACTTAGTTGAAAACTTACAAATGATTTTATTTCCATTTTTAGGTGGCAGTACCTTTTTCCTAAATTCGGATTCTGATGTCTTTGACCAATCTTTGGATGATTTCACTGCAACAGATGCCACAGCTATTTCAACACCACTAGATAAAGTCCCTTTATACACTGTACCAATGGATGAAGTGCCGATTACGTTACTAAAATCTTCACATGCTGCTTCAAGCTCTGATCTCTTTAGCTTCGGCACACCTGAAAATATAAAACTCTGTGATGCATGCATGTATAGAGGCAGTAATCTAATATGTGATACTCAAGTAACATAGCTCAATCAAGGGAGTGCAAGACTGCAATCATTCAAGCTAGATCAATTAGATGATCTAGGGACCTAATGAAAATATGAAGTTCTTCTTCTCTCTTTCTCATTTCAAGAATCCAGAAGCAGTGGCTGTGTGCAAGTTAACTACTGTTATCAGTCATTGCCTTATTTCACTACTTTTAAACTGATAGGAATTACCTGTTACAAATGCCTTCTGAAGCTGTCCGCTTAATCCTGTGGCCCAAGGTTTTACGGTAGCTACCTTGTTTGTTTTGCAGAGATATAGGACAATGATTGAAATGAAAAGAAATACAGCACCACCTATAACTCCAGCCAAAATGACAACTGAATGATTATTTGATTTGTTACTTTTAGATTTTGGTAATGAGCCTTCTGGTTCCGGCAGAGGAGAAGGAGAAGCAGAATTATTTCGGTCAGGGGAAGCTGGCGTCTGAACCGC